TTTTTTTAATGCATATGAAGCTCTTGATAAGTAAAAAATAATTTTTTAGAATAGTGTAATTTGGATTCTATGAAAAACCAACCTATACCTTTATTTCTTTAAATATTACTACTTTTTATCTGCTATGTTTGGTTTTACATTATACGACTGATTTTTTTCAAAAGAGAATATTAAACAGTAAGTTTTTTGTGGAGCTGGAGAGGTCCTACTTATTTGGTGACGTACTGATTTGACAAACTAGTGAGTGATTCTTCTAGCTAGAACGTTCTTCTAAAAATTTGTGTTTCAGTACCTTTAATCCTTTAATTTTTTATCAAAATATTAATCTGTATGTGAAGCAGTGGTCTGAAAAAGCTGATGTAAACTTTCTGCCGATATAAACTGAGACTGAAGAGAATTTGTTACAAATTGTATGGTCTTTATTTATTCGACCAGGAAACTTTTCTAGATACTTTAATGAGTTCTTATTTCATGTTAGCAGTTAAAGGTTAGGACTTTCATGTTATCTAGAACCAGCACTTGTATTTTTCTTTCAGATAGAAATCTCCCTTTTACGGATTATACTGTCTAGAAAAGCACTAAAACTAGTTGATTATTTCGAAAACCTGTGTATCAGGATACCAGGGTTTTAAAAACAAGCCAAATTTTTTAATGATTAAGGTGTTATAGTGCTATGGGCAAAAAAAGTCTATAAGTACAAAAAACCGGTCTCAGATTTCCTAATAAAAAAATTGAATTTTCCAAAGCCAACAGAAATGTGACGTCTGGGTTGCATAAATTCGCTAACAGTTAACAACTTGATAATACAGAAAGGCAAACATCTAGCTGAAATGCAACTGTCTTCGACGACAGTCAATAACAGTAAGACAAAAATAAATTAAGCTTAGAAAACCAAAGCATCTGAACCTTTAATAATTAGAAGAGACCATCTCAATGTAGATGTCTTGCTGTCTAGCAGAAAGCAAATAGAAATCCTAGCAATGAATCCAAGAAAAGAAAGCAGAAACTGGCTTGTCTGTATATTCATGTTGAATTGTCAAGTTCACAGAAAAGTTCGGGAATAGTCTCATGCAAAACGGTGTATGAAAACTATGCAGAATTTTAATGCTGTTGTCGTTAAGTACAATAGTACTAACTGTTGCACTACAAGTAAAAGTTTTAGGGAAATAACTGAATGAAATTTAATATGACTGACGATCAACAAAGAGGTAAATGATACGGCAAACGATCGAAATAAATTTTGGCGTTGCATTAATATTGTAGTCGAAAGTTGCAAACTTTTGTGCTTTTGATGCTGTCCATTCAGTTAAACACACAGTGCAAAAGAGCGAGGCAGCAACCAGATAAATGCTTTAAAAAGAATTCTTTTCAAGTCGTTATAACAAGTTAACAACAAAAAAGTATATATTCATTGAAATGCTGTATTGCAGATAACATGCAGGACATCGCTGAATTAGAAGCAGAAGCAGAAAAAAAGTTTGCGGCAAATACAGTGAGTCTTCTGAGAAATCCAGCGTATACTTCTGCACCCTATTGGGTAGTTGATAATAAGCCCAGGAATATTATACTTTGTTAGCCATCACTGCCTTTCACCAATTTTTCTAGTAGGCAGCGCAGAGAACAGTCTAATATTACATCAAAAATAGGCAATAAAATATGTAAAAAAATTTTTTTGAAGAACTGCAAACTCTACGTGCTTTGTGAAAATTAATACGATACATTTGCACATTACACTTAAATACGAAACGCTAACTCTTCAAATGCAACGAATCAGTGATCAAGCAGAAATTTTAGAATTATTTAAATTGGTAGTTTTTTAGTTCTCCATTAAACGATCATCAACAACTGATTTCAAAAAGCTCCAGACATGCAAATAAATACCACCTTAGCGCACTATCAATTTATTTATTTATTTTTTTTTACATACTTATTGCCTATTTTTGATGTAACATTAGAAGTTGTAGAAAATCGAGAAATGTGCAGATAGGAAGACTATATAAAAAGATATCAATGGAAACCATTTCAACAGCCAATTACAATCAAAGTCACATGGCATCCATGCAAGCTTCTTCCAAGCAAATACGGTAAAACTCTAGTATAAAAGTGTTTACTTCAATCATTTAGATTTAACAATAAGTGACGACCATAAGTAGACGCCTAATGTGCTTATTAGTTTATGCTGAAATAAAAAGAGGAATTTTTTGTAAAATTTTGATGGTTCCAAAACAGATTATGCAAAACGTATGCGCTCTATAACATCAATCGTTAATGTACGTTTAACATAGAATTGCAACCAAAGTTGAAATAGATTCTTCATTTTGTATTGACACTCGATAATAGAAATAATCCAACTCCCTACCAAGTTTGTAACCTTAATTTACAGAATTGCATAGAAGGAATAAAAGAACATTAGCATCCTGATATTTCAGTAATGCACAACGGGGGTTAAAAAATGAGAAACAGACTTCGACCTTAGGAAGTAAGACACGACAGGCGATGATTTGAATAAAAAAGAGCAATAAAGAATGAAATGTTTACACAGTAGAACTATCTGCAAAAAAATTCC